GTCCTCGCGCTCGGGGCGGTGTCTAACGGTTCTCTGTTGCGTTGACGCGGCGGCTCTAGGACCCGGGATGCTCAACAGTCACCCCATGCAACCCAACGGAGAAATGAACGGGGGCCACTCGTCCCAGACCATGGTCTCCGGGTCACACTGCACCCCCCCTCCGCCCTACAACCCCGACCCCAGCCTTGTCAGGTAGGGCAGGCGCCCGGCCCCGCCTCTCTCTCCTCCTCTGACGTTTCTCGCTGTTGTCCCTCGCTCTAACCTTCCATCTGTCTAGCAACTGGTCAACTGGCCACCGGTCCCAACTGAGAAATCGCTGCTCCCACAGTCACACGGACCATTCGCACCTCAGCAACCACCCGTCAGAAACTCTCGCCCTCACACAGCTCTCCCCGGGTGGCCCCTCCCTGCTGAACTCAAAACTAAAGACCCCCAAAGGAGAGTCTTCTCCCACACGCCAAGCCAGCACGTAGCTCTGAGAACTTCCCCCTTCCCCTCCCTTCCCCGCGGCGTGGCTCCGCGTGGCTGATCGCCACCAGGGACACGTTTACAGCCCTGCAGCCACTTTTTAACATTTTGGGTTTTACAAAGACCACGGACGTTTCCACGTCAAAACACCCCTGGCCCCACCCGTCGGCGCGTGGCAGAGCCCGGCCTCGGCGCCCCGGCAGGCCCCGACCTCCCTCACACTATTCCGAGTTCCTCAGCTGAAACCTCTGATGATCAGGAGAAAAAAAAATACGTAGTTTTAGGACTGAAAGTAACCCCTCGCTTCACCCTGTCAGTGGCAACAGAGGTCACGCTTGGGTCGGCAACGGCCGCAGAGAAAAAGCCCGTCGGAGCCCCCTGAGCTGCTCCCACTGCCCCCGGTGCCGAGGGGGGGCAGCCGAGCTCAGCGCAGCCCCCCACCTTCCCAGGGCCCCCCGACGCGGTTTGCAGTACAGCGACGGTTGTGAGCGCAGCTGGGATCTGTCAGAAGTTAACGCCACTTTACTGTCCACGTTTTTTCTGCAGTTTTTTAACAGGATTGGGGTGTCCAAACTGCATCGACTATTTCACCTCACAAGGGTTACAGAATATTTACCACCTGCAGAACCTATCCATAGAGGTAAATGCTTTGGGAAGATCTTTCTTACCACTTGTCTCTATCAGCTGTTGATCTGGAAAGCAAGGACAAAACTCTTTTAAAAAGGGAAAACTCCGCACCAACCCGTCACACAGAACACCCGCCCCCCCCAGACCCCTGCCTTCCACTTATCCACCCGCTCTGTCCTCCGGATTTAGCAGTATAGCTCAGGCATCAGTAGCAACCCCGACAGTCTCAATTGGTCCTTCCAGACTCAGAAACAAAAGTTCCCCAGCCCAGACCTCCGGCAGATTTTCTACCTAATGCAGAAAAACCAGCTGAGGTGCTCAGCAAAATAACCCCAAGCCCGTGGAGCCAGCGGGAACCCCCCCACTGCAGCTCAGCCAGATTTAACTCCGACCCTACCCCTTCCCTGGGTAACCTTTAAGACAAAAGAGGCTGAAATAAGCTCGGGGCCTTTGTATTAAGGGAACCCTGGAATCAACTAGCGCAGGTCAGGCAAGAGCGGGAGGAGCTGCTGGGTGGAGCATCACCCGCTGCCGCAGGCTCCTGGTGCTGAGCGAGGGCAGCGCTGAAGCAGGAGCTTCCCCAGCCCAAATAAAGCAGGGAAAAAGCAAATAACAAGATAATCTTACACCCACTGAAGCCCAGCAAGCCCTGTAAACCCCAGAGCTGGTGTTTCGGCTGAGGCAGAGCTCCTGCCCCGACCCCCTTTTGCCCCCAGGCAGGTTGTAAGTCGCCGCCCACCCGGCCGCTACGATAAAAACGCGCGACCGCGCTTTGGCGATGCAGCTGTTGGAGACACGATGATTTTTCAGTGGTAGCTGGGGCCAGTTGCGTAACCGTAGCCCGGTTTTGGACCGTTCTCTGAACTAACTCTGTGACCGTCTGTAAGCTGTCAAAGGAAACGTTTGGTACGGCCAAAACCCGCGTCAGATCGCTGAGCTGTGTGTCGGTCGGCGTTTGTGATTACTAATCGCTGCACACCCGCTGTCTTCTCCAGTTAACACCCCCTGAGTCTCTGTGTCTGGCATTAACGTGGATCTCTGGCAGCTCTCTGCTACCATGCTGCTCGTTCTGGTGCAGCCCCCCCAGTCCTGAGGGTAGCGACCTCGTTTGGTTTTACAGCCGCGGCCCTCGGCGGTGTAACAGCCCCTTCCTGCGCGACGCTGGCCCCGGGCCGGGCCGGCTCCAGCCTCCTGCTCTGGGACCGGAGGAGAAGCCGGCCCGGCTGAGGGCTCCGCGCCAGCCGAGTGGACACGAGGACACTTCACACGCTGCTCTGCAACCCGCAGCCAAAGGGGAAAGGTCCCCGCGCTCCCATTTTCACATCCGTTGGATGTGAATCTGGCCCCTAAAAAAAAGAAAAAAAAAAAAAAAGACAAGTGACTGGAAATCCTGTAGATATTCAATATATGCACAGAGCTGTAGTTTGGAAAGGCATTAACTACCGCTCTGAGGGGGAGATTTGGGTTTGGACAGTACAAAAAAACTTTCAATGGCAAAGACAGCTAAATGCTGGCCTAGATTAGGTGACAGGGTGTTAGGATGGAGCTAGATTTAGGCTGAGCTTGTTTTAGTGAAGATACAGGTTTAATGCCCACACCAGGGATATGCCAGTTATTTTTCCAGTGACTCCCTGATAATACAGCAAAAGGCAGGGATAAGGGGATGGCACAGCTGAGTACACAGTCATCCTATGCTGATTTCAACAAGATATGCTAAAAACTATATTACACACACAAATTATATCCTACTTCCAAACTTAGAACAAACAGTAAATTGAAAAGATTTCTTCATAGAGAGGAGGGGAAGATAAAAGCATTGCTGTTTCCTCTTAAAATCTTCAAGGAAATCAGAGTTCAGTGAGTCACGCACTAGAAATGAGCTCAGTGAAATTCATGTACGGAAAAATCTCAGGCAAATAATTGGTGATGATAGAATTAAAAATAGAGTCGTTAATGATAGATGCCTTTTAATGGAGCCAGAGCAATGAGATAAAGGGATCTTTTTTTGTGAGGCTTTTCCTACACAAAGAATCATAAATACATAAAAGGCAAGCAGGTTGGTAGGCTACTTCATTCACTGTCCAGTCATATACAAAGATTAATTGAAAATTGTCTTTCTTTTGCAGTCAAATACTAAACTTAGTCTTTCTAAATTCACCAGGACAATATAGAAGTGGTAGTTCCAGGTAAATGTTTGGCCCAGTATTAATTAACACAGGCTAATGACATTACAGGTTCTTCCCATGTTCTGTAAATGCGATTCTCCAGGTGTATATAATACTCATCAGGCAGTTTTACGAGTCTGAGTAGTCAGGGTAGACCTGCATGTCATC